TTTTGCATTTTGTCTTAGTAAAGGTAATTTTTTTATATGTTTAATTTTCACTCGAAAAGGATAAGGAATACTGTCGACTGAAAGCAATGATGTTCAAACATACACACTTCCCCTTGGACCCAAAATCAGTAAAGTTTAGATGTTATGACGACTGTCGCTACCGTACTCTGGTACAACCATATCCAGTCTCTCCTACTTTCCCCCTTAAATACTCTATTGTTAAGGACATATTGAATAATTAAAATACTGAGACATAATTCTAATATACGTATAATAAATTGTTTGCAGCCCGTTTCAAGCAGCAACGGCGAAGAGAGCAGCAAATTGCGTCAGCTGATACATATCCTCTGCACGACTTCATCACCGTGCCGACCTTTACCCGGAAGTGCCCATATGAGGTCACAAGGTCTCAGAATCACCGGAGTCGATTGCGATGAAGTTTATCCTCGATTATACATCGGCGACGCGTAAGAATCCTTTATATATATATATATATATATATATATATATATATATATATATTCTATTTGCATTTAAATTAATTATAACTAGGTGTATATTTTGCCTTAATTTCGCACGCATGCAAATGATAAGTAAAAATAATCGACTTAAGGGGGTATTCTAGTGCAGAGCAATGAATTTTAGGTCATTTTTAAAGTGTCGAAAAAGGAAGAAATGAATGATTTTACTATCCATTTTTTACCACTTGTTTATTAATATTATTAAAATATAAAACAAAAATTTAAAAGAAAGTTGAACATTGAAAAAACTGGCAGCTGATGAAGTGCGGGGTCTCAAAAAATTGGCACTTCAGACTTGTCATGATTTCAGCCCTTCTAGCTACCCGAATAAAAAAAATAAAAAGATTATTAATCTACAATGATGTCAAAAACGCCCAAACTAGCTAAGAGTAAAAAAAATTTTCTTTCGCAAACTGGCGACTGTTTGAAAAAAACTGTCTTTTTTTACTTTTTTTCGAGTTTCTCGAATTTTTTAAAAATAGTAAAGATTGGAATTTGGGAATTATGCTAGTTTGGGCTATAGATAGGTCTATAAACAAGACTCTCTGATCATTTCAAGTAATCGGTCGATTAAAAATCGTGTCAACAGTACTGAAAAAGTCTGTTCTGAGAAAAACGCATTTAAAGTTTTGCGTAAAGTTTTTTGCTGTCAAAGTCATAAAATGATATATTATACTTATTTTATTTAATTTGCCATTCCTGGTTCATGCGTCGGATCTTCTTCTACTTCAAAAAAAACTATTTTCTGCATTTCTCTCTTCCAATCTAGCAGTTCTAGCCTTCTTTGAGCCTTCTTTGAAGCGTTGGATGTACGTATTTCAGACCGTTCAATCCGGGCGTTGTCTCGTCTTACAGCAAATGAATGAGCTTCTGTCCCAATTTGCATTACCATAATGGTATTCATTTTTAAAATCGGAAAGAAGAATATTCAAGAATCCTTCATTGTATATGCAAACAACAATAAATGTTGCTATTTCAATTACCCGAGATCGGGAATGAATATGTTTCGGCGCGAAAATCCAAATCAACGAGTTTAGAGACTCATTATTGTTCTGAGTTTCTGAGCCTAAACATCGAATTAATAATTTATTTGACGATAAACTGTCATAAATTGGTCTAATGACTTCCTAATGCCATTTGTTCTATTAGACCTTGCAAAACCAGTTTTTGGAGACCGCGTCAGTAAAGTGCCTATATCTTTGAAGATAATTCAAATTTTCAAAAATCTTCTCGTACCCATATTCTTAGATAGTTAAACTTTGAAAATATGAAACAAAAAAAATCGTTTTTTTTTTGAATTCTACACTAGAATACCCCCTTAATCCATAATATTTGAAAAGCTGCATTCAAAACTGTGACGATAGAACGTTGAATTTTTGACACGGCCGTTTATCCACACTTAGATGATTTTTTATAATAAAATCACTTTTCGGGGTTTAATTGAATTTTCGTTAAGACTATCAACTCTATCACTATACTAAGTTTCATCAAAATCGTCAGAGTGTTTGTTTCAGCAATAATTACGACGAAACGGCTCGACAGCTCTATATCAGGAACTAATCGGCACGATTTTCCTCTGATATCTTTTAAACATTTTTTGATTTTTTAATTAATTAATTTTTAATTAATGTTCTTATCAATTTTCATCAAAAGGTTTTTAAATTTTTAAAATCGATATAGTCGAACATAAACTTCTTCTTCGGTAAGTTAAAAAGCCTTATTGTTAGCTTAATTTTGCCCAAAAATCAAGATTGACTTTTAAAGTTTACCTATATGATATCATTTATAGTGCATCATTTTAATTGATATTTATATTTTTTGTATTTGTTGTAAGGTAGGGGGCGAGACACACAAATAAGGCCCAACTTGAATTTCAGTAATTGTCATAACCAAATGAACTACATTACAACAAATAACATGCATCAAACTACTGAACGATTTATTCCTAATTATAAAAACATGTTTTATAGCTATTTTCTTAAGATTTATCATATGTCTCTTTTTACTCTATAGGCTAGGGGAAAAAGGACTGGTCACAACATTTTGTTCTAATTGTAACAATTCATTCAAAATTACTTGAAACGTCGAAAAATCTTAAACTTAGCGGAACAATTTTTTTGATGAAAACAAACTTTTTTCCTGATTGTTAACAATAACTCAAAGTTTTCATTTTGCAATAGAACATTTTATTTCTATTTCAAATTTGATCGGTTCTATTTGACGTTCTCTTGATTTCTCTAGATGCGTCAGTTTGTACTTTTGTTTAACAACCTTGAACTTCGGAACAATCAGTGTCTGGCCGTATCACATAGGGACAAGTTTTGTTCTATTGTGAATTTCTGATCTATTTCGGGATTGATTTCCCAGGTCATGGTAAGAAGATACGGACACGGAAGACACGGACAGCCGCGATTTCTCACGTCATTATCTAATCATAGGGATAAAGCAAAAGTTAAGGGAAAACGATTAGGAAACATATCGTGGATCATATTGGAATCTTTGTGGGGAATTCAACAAAAACTGTAAAGTCGGTATCAAATTTAGATTTTGCGCATTCTTGTAGCATAATTGATTACTGGACTGGATATGGTTTGGCTAATTATTCTTTAACAATGTGTAGATAATGGGGCAATTCTACCGTAAAATACACCAATGTTACGTAGGGGCTATGTTACGTAGCTCTTCTCATACAGAATGGTACTAAATACTGTCAAAATGCAATGCGGTTGATGTGTTTGCAGGCGTATTAGATAGAAAACCTAACTTAAAAAACGCATAAATGTCAAACCTACAATCTTATCATAACTGCATTTTTGTGATATGGCTCTATGGCATATGAGTGAAGTTACATTTTATATGTAAAACGCTTGATCGTACAGCAAATACATGGCGTTTTGACAGTATTTAGTACCATTTTGTATGAGAAGCCTTATTTATCATATCTACATTGGTCTATTTTACGATAGAATCGACCCCAAAATTATACGTATATATGTATGTATATATAAACAAACAACTATCTATACAACAATTATCATAGATTTGTCATTTGATCCTTTTTGTACTATAGGTGTAAAAAAGGGAGCTTTTACGTAATAATGGCTACCTTATTTAATCATTGTGATACAGTATAATCATTAGGATGAATAAAATGATGATATAAATACATATATATTTTTAAACATAAATTTATCAATTTTTACTACCATTAATCTTGCTTTGGTAGACATTTTGCTTAATTTATTACAGTCAGGCATATTGTTTTTTTTAAGTATTATTGTTACAAATAGGGTTAATAGACCTTTAATAAATAATAATTTACCTTTAATTACCTTTAATTAATAATAATAGACCCCAAATAAATATTTCGTGACTACATTTTTATAATGATCATACTGCATACAACCTTGATATTGGACTTTGTCAGAAGAATTCATCATCAGAGTTCGAATAACAATTAATTTAATTTATCTCTTGTAAAATTGCCTCTTAAACTTGTTATACTTTTTTCTTATTGTTTACACCTTGACAGTGTAAAGGTTGAATTGCTTCTTTTTAATATATAAGCTCTTATATGAAAAAAAAACAATTAAATTTAATGAAGTATACATAAAAATTATATTTAGATATTGTAAACTAAACTATAGTACACAAAACTAGAACAACGAACAATGGGAGAAAGTACTTTCGTTAAAAACTTGACAATGTGGTCATTTATCGATTTGAGACGATAGCTAGTTACGTATCTTTTGCCAACTACTTTAAAACAGCATCGTTAAAAATACCTTACTCTACTTGTTTTTGAGATAATAATGATAGACTTTTTGATCCGCAGACTTTTAAGCCCCACTCTACTTTATATTGTTTGTATAAATCTAACACCAAAAAATTAAATCAGTAAAAATATATTAACTCAGTTTTTGCATCATAGTCATAATTTCTAGAAGAACTTTTCCGCTCCACTTTGGAAAATCGCTTTGAAATTTCCGATTTGACCGCATTCCAGCTGGGTGTTCCAATTCTCTAAGCTTTTATATATACATTACATGCATATTTTCTTGTACAATGCCTTTTTATATTCGTTAATGTTTTTCATAATACTTTCGGGAATAGACCATACCTTAATGTGAGATTTCTATCTCTATCGACCTGTCGACCCCGATTCAAACTGATGCCGTTTGCGGCAACTTTTGTGAAAAGGGAATTGTGGTGAATTATTTTTATCAGCATCAAAAGTTCTTGAATGAGTAATAAAATCCATTTATATTATGAAAGATATTTTAATATATTTTGTCATGGTATGAAAAGATGAATCGATAAGAGAATTGTACTGAAATTATTTATTACTTACAAAGCTAATACCAAAAGTTTGATAGGATTATTTTAATAAGATTATATTTGAGGTTGTAATATTTATCGAAGAGGATTTGGTTTTATAGCATTTTATTCCAAAACATTTGTTTTATTGTGAAATTGAATTGAATTAATAAATACTGATGGTGATGATTTTTAAAACAATATTACAAACACTACTTGCCAGTGACCATTCGAAAATAGTAAAAGAAGCACGGACAAAATGATATGGTTTTTGTTTTTAAATTATAATTATTTATTTAATGATATTTTAACCAATCTTAATCGTTTTTTCCGATTTTTGGTTTACTGACTACCAGTAAGATTATCTTATTAAAAAAATTATTATTCGTAATTAAATAAAATACTATCTTACTAAGATAGTATTTTATTTAATTACGAACAATAAAAACATACTTATTAGAGAAAGCTGCAAATTAAAAAATCATTTTGTACACATAGGGCAAGACAATATGACACATGGGTAAGAACCTACTGAGATGCTAATTTTTAATGAAGCAGTTTACAAATAAACTGTTTCGTCTTCCTCCTTTTTGGGACATTGGCACAGTAACCTACCTTTGCCGGACTCG